AAGGGTTTCGGTTGGGATTTTGGGGGAGGCGATCGGCTAGGCTGCGATCGAGATAGGGAGACGGAGCTGGGTTCGGTCACGAGTGGAAGGAGGCTACGATGCTTCTCTGTGAAGACGGATCGGGAGAAAAGGATAGCCACGAGCTTCGGTGCGGGGCTTTGATGAGCAGAAGTTTTCGGTCGATCGAAAGGAAGTTGGGTTTCGAACTGGAGGAGAGGGTGTCGAGCGAGAGAGGAGCTGACGAGGATTTCAGTGGCGAGGGAGAGGGGTTTCGGTGCAGAGTGAAGAGAGCCGATGCCAGGAAGGAGCTAAGTGGGATTGTATAGCTGAGGTGAACGTTACACGAGATTAGGCGGGGAATTAAATAAATTCCATTCGTGTAGTTGATTTCAAATGGAAAATTCTAACTCCTAATTAAGATAAAATTAAATGATGAATTTGAAATTCAAAAATTTAAAATTCAAAAAAAAAACGTTTAACCTTTGTTCAGCCCGAGTTCAGTCCAAATCGAACCCGAGCTGAACCTGGGTTAAGTCCGGGCCCGCATCCTGCTAAAGGAGAAAAATGCATCGATTTCCGTGCAAACTGTGCGCGCGCGTAACCCCGGCAACATGGGTGTCCTTCCTAGCTAAAGTCGACATTCCGGACGCGTCGGCGCGGTCCGTTTCGTCATCCGGGATCGTCCGGACGAGTTCGCCGACGGGCGAGTCGATTCAAGTCAAAGTCGTGTGTGATGCACTGAGTACGTGAATTGCGGCGTTCGCGAGTAATCGAGTCACAAAGGGTTCACCTAAGGCTGTTGATCCTATAGGAACTCAATTTCGGGCCCTCTACATGTTGGTCCTTAGCCCTTGCAACTAAAAGTTGAGTGCTTGGAACCACTCGTGCGAGTTCTTCACAAAAATGAGTCAAGAAGTGGCTTGAAGTTCTACTGGAGGTGGGCTCCATCGCTAGTCCGCTAGGATGGTCAATAAGAACTCCTAAAGCTAGATCCTAGGTTCTAAGAGTAGGAGACTAAGACCTCACTAAAAATGAGGTCAACAACACTCAAACAAGAACACATTTATAAGAGAACACTGTGACAGAACTAGAATTTTACATGTAATCACACAGGATTCACACAATCACGCATAAGGATTGTGCAGAAACCAAGGAGATAGTGCCTTATCCTCTATGATAGCGCCCTATGCTTTAAATAGTCTTGGAAAAAAATGAACCCCACATCTGATTTAGTTGCTGTATTCAAAAACTTAATCTTAAATTTTTATGAAATCCTTTTATTGAGTAGTTCTTGGGGTGAGCATTTGGTTGATTTTTTAACTGAAATCTGAAAAGCCAAACTAACTAAAATTTTGACTAAACTGAACCAACCGGACCAAAATTTAGTTCCGTTTACACAGTTAAATTATGTACAAACCAAAATTTAATTGTTAGTTAGAGTTTGGATATGAACAAATATCAAGAACTACATATCTTACATGAATAATATCGACTTAATTTCATGAATTCTACATTTAATTTCATTTTTTTTTTATTTTCCAAATTGCTTTGTTAAATGAAAGTTAAAACTGAAAAAGAACCAAAAAACATTTAGTTTTAAAAACCGCAAATCAAGATGTATTTTTGAAACTAAACTGAATCAACCCAATCTTTTCGATTCAGTTCGATTTTTTAGCTTTGACCAAATAATGCACAAACATAGTACATACGATGCACTCCTCCAAATAGCAAATGGGGGAGAAAGATAAAAAAGAATACATCCATACATCCTTGTGAATTAAGCAAACTAGTTTGCCATTGGGAATGGGCCACATGACCCATAAGAGAAAGATGAAACTAGAGAGAGAGAGAAACCGAACTAAATTTTCAAGAACTACATATCTACAAGTATAATATCAATTTAATTTCATGAATTCTACATTTTAATTTCAATTTTTTTTTTATTTTCGAATTATTCTGTTAAATGAAAGTTAAAAATGAAAAAGAACCAAAAACCATTTTGTTTTAAAAACCGCAAATCAAACTGTATTTTTGAAACTAAACCGAATCAACCCAATATGTTCAGCTCAGTTCGATTTTTTAGCTTTGACCAAATAATGCACACACATAGTACATACGATGCACTTCTCCAAATAACAACTGGGGGGAAAAGATAAAAAGAATACATCCACACATCCTTGCGAATTAAGCAACCTAGTTTGCTATTGGGATTGGGCCACAGGACCCACAAGGGAAAGATGAAACTAGAGAGAGAGAGAGAGAGAGAGAGAATGGTGATAGACGATACTTCTACTAGAAATACTTTCCAACATGAGGGAGGACAATGCAATGAGATGTGACAATACTGGCTGTATGTATAGATAATAAAATTAATCTAAAAAGATAAAATAAACTATTAGACATTCACAAATATTTATCTAATAATTTAATTGCATTGGTATAATACAAGATAATCCAACACATTTTCTATGTATACATACATGTGAATATCGAATCATTTAATTGTATTATCTAAGTACAATTATATTTACATAATAGCTTGAATTATTTTTATAGTTCAATCGTATGTAATGTATGAAATCAAGAACACACATATAGTAACAATTGCTCTATCTGGAAATAATCCTAACAGAAAACTTGATAGGATATCCCCACAGATTTTTGTTTTTGAGACATTTACATACATATCATGAAATTCTTATTCATTTACAAATCTAAAACCTAAACTTTCATATTTACATTCATATCACTTTAGTGTCATAAAATTATATATGAAAAGATGTATTTCACTTTTAAAAAGTAAGTAAAAGTGATATATTTGATATGATGTTAAACATTTGAGTACTATGTATGGAAATATGGATATCCCTACAGAAAACTTGATAGGATCCCTACAGATTTTTGTTTTTGAGACATTTACATACATGCCATGAAATTCTTATTTATTTACAAATCTAAAACCTAAACTTTCATATGTATATTCATAACACTTTCGTGTCAGAAAACTATATATGAAAACATGTATCACTTTTAAAAAGTAAGTAAAAGTAATTTATTTGACATGATGTTAAACATTTGAGTACTACGTATGTAAATATGGAAGTTTAGGTGTTAGATATGTAAATACATAAAAATTATGCTGTATGTATGTAAATGCCACATTTTTTTCCAATACATAAAATAGCAAAGCATGTAGTCAATGCAAACTCTGAAGCAACCTACCATATGGAAACCAAATCAAAATAAAAAGTTCAAATAGAAAGCAATACCAAATAAACAATGTACAGAGAGTTCTATACAAATACCCCAAATATGCCACCCACCGCTCCTCAGGTTTTTTTGGCAATGGTGCCCTTTAGGGTTTCCATTAAACAGATGATTTCTCTTTTCATCGCCTATTGGTTCATCAACAAACAAAAAAGAAGCAGCCAAACAATTTGATAGGATTTAATTGGATTTAACATGTCATGCCAAACAGTTTGTAAAATTTAAGTACACTAGGATTTATTAAATCTAAATTTACAGGATTTACTAAAACTTACTTGAATTAAATCCCATAAGTTGCCAAACAACCCCTTAGAAAGACATTTGCAGAGGCTCGGATTCCACTTGATCCATCACTAGAAAGGGCCTCCAGTTCTTGTATTCAAGCAACACATAGAAAATAGCTAGAAGATGATTTGGGATCCAAAGCATATCTTCAAAACTCAAGTAAATAGCAATGTTTCGAGCCCTGTGTATGTGTAATTGCCCCAGTGAACTTTAAAAAATGGATGCAAGAGGGTGTCGGTTTTGTAAATAGCAATGTTTTGAATTCTATACATATAATTGCCCCAAAACGAGAAATACAAAGGAAAGTGGTGTGTATGCAAAAATTGAAGTTTAGGTTAGATATGCAAATACATAAGAATTGAGTGGTATGTAAATCTTTGTTGACCTCATTTTTAGTGAGGTCTTAGTCTCCTACTCTTAGAACCTAGGATCTAGCTTTAGGAGTTTTTATTGACCATCCTAGCGGACTAGCAATGGGGCCCACCTCCCGTAAAATTTCAAGCCACTTCTTGACTCATTTTTGTGAAGAACTCGCATGAGTGGTTCGAAGCACTCAACTTTTAGTTGCAAGGGCTACGGACCAACATGTAGAGGGCCCGAAATTGAGTTCCTATAGGATCAAATAGCCTTAGGTGAACCCTTTGTGACTCGATTATTCGTGAACGCCACATTTCACGCACTCACTGCATCACGCACAATTTTGGCTTAAATTGACTCGCCCGCCGGCAAACTCGTCCGGACGACCACGGATGACGAAACGGACTACACCGACGCGTCCGGAACGTCGATTTTAGCTAGAAAAGACACCCATATTGTTGTGGTTCCACACTCGCGCGAACCGCACGGAAATCGATGCTTTTTTAGGTGCGGGCCCGGACTCAACCCAGGTTTGACTCGGGTTCGATTCAGGCTGAGCACGGGCTAGGCACCAGCTCACCTGAATTTGAAATTCAAATTTCAAAATTCAAATGAATTATTTAATTTTTGTCTTAATCAAAATTAATGCAGGTGTTAACACATTCTAATTAAATCCTTCCTGCATTTGGAAATTATTAATTTCCCCGCCTATTGTTTCCAAAATAACGGTTCCCGCTCCGTTTCTAAAAGGAATCTGTCCGATTGGACTTAATTCGCAGCCCCCCGAGCTTTTCTTCCTGGTTCGATCCCGAGCTTTCTTCCCCTCTCTGCCTCCTGCACCGAAGTACTCACCTGCTTCGCCTCTCCCTTCGCTCGCCAATCTCCCGATCCCTGCTCGGTCCCGTCTCCCGCATCGACGAAGCCGCAAGCCCCGCCTCAGCCCGCTCGACGCGCCTCCAGACGTTGCTTCTCGGTCCCGTCTCCCGCATTGACGAAGCCGCAAGCCACGCTCGACGCATTCGCCTGCCCGCTTCTTCTCTGCGTGCGCGATTCCAAGTTCCGTCGGACAGACCGAGTCGCTCGTCTCCTTCTCCCAACCGAAGCATCTGTTGCGTCTTCCACGCCGAATTTCCTGCTCGCCTCTTCCTCGCTCGAGATAAACGCTCGACTCGCCATCTCAACAGACCGAACGACTCCATATCTCGTTGGACTCTCTTTCTCTCGACCAGGATCACTCGGCCGACTCCCTTGCCCGCATTGGAGGTAGGAGGAACACTGAACTCCAGAACTTCTGAAAAGCTTTGGAATACAGAAACTTAACAATTGCAGTAACTGGGTAACGAATTCTTATTTTACTACTGTACTGTTCATTTTATTTATGCAATATATGCATCTACAAGTTAGGAAGATTTACATAAACATCCACTCAATCCATGTGCTTTTACATATCTATTGCCTTGAACTTTCACATGAGTATGCATAACACTCAAATATTTTATGTTGCAATAAGATAATGCATTATCTACGCATAAACTTCATTTTTGTAGACCTACTTGCTGAATTGAAAGTTTTAGAATGACATGGACGTTGTTTCGAGCCTTATAAACTTGCGATTTTGAAAGAATAAAATACTGCTTTGGCCATAGATGCTTACTAATTCTGGGGAATTATAAACACTATTTTGGTCATACGTTATTGTTGATTTTAAATGCTTAGCTGTTGGTTTTATGTTTCAAGCACCTAAATGCAATATTGTGGAGTCTCAATGACCATTTATTTGTTGATCTTAAATACTTATTTGTTAATTTCATGTTTCAAGCCCTCGAAAGGAAATACAATGAGGCTCGATATGACCGTTATTCTAGGGCTTGAATGCTTCTTTGTAAGTCTATACTCTTTCATTTCTGGATGCCTCCCTTGGGGGCTGTTTTACATGCTGTTTGGTGGATCTAAACATTGCAATTTTTAAGGGCTTTGTCAACTGATTTACGTACTATTTTAAAGACAATTTGTTAACCGATTTTTGAGAGTTTACACACTATTTCGGACTGAATTTCCTAATTGATTTTGGGATATTTAAAATTGATGTCTTGATCTTACATGAGAGCTGTTTGGGAATTTTAAAATTACTGTTTTAGGGCTGATTTTGGGAGCTTCGCCTAATGTTTTGGAGGCATTAAACCTACCATCTGCGGGATTGTTTTAATCAATGTTTTGAAGCATTTTGATGGGCTAATTTTGAGATAATTTACGCTCTATTTTGACAAGATTTATGTAGCATTTAGGTGTTGATTTACATGCGGTTTGGAATTTGTTTTACGGACCTCTCTTTGCCCGATGTTTTGGGTTTCAATTGTTTGTTATTTAACGCTCTTAGGTCGATCCACTCATTGTTTATTCCCTTGATTTTACTAGTTTTGGAAGTGGGTTTGCCTCATCTTTCTTTTGTTTTACTTCTTTTTAAATGG